ATATCCCGACGAATATAGAGAACTAGTCTCTCAATATTTTGACGACTCATATCTTGACATTTCGACAACTTATATCTCAATATTCGATAGCAGCGACTAAGTCTAGTCTTTGACCAGTGGAGCTTGAGGTCTATTGGTGTCCGAACTCATGAATGCCTCATGGCCACATCAAGGAATGATTAGAAAGATCTAAATTCTATAGTCCACAAGTCACAACAAGATGTCGAACCAAAGGCTCATTCACTTAGCTCGACCAAGAGTTCTTCGTTATCAGGAAACACCGTCATGATCAAATTAAAAAGATGTCGCTCAATGAAGTCTACAGCTTCGTAACAATCAAATAGAAGAGAACAAGGGTCACATCTGATGATGCGGGTTCTCACCTTGTATCAATCATAAAAAGTCATGATTGTCTAGACAGTAGATAATCATAACTTAGACCGCATACTACGTCCTAGGTGAAATGATGGCCTAGTTGTTCGACCTTAGCATCCAATTAAATATCAAGTAGGATGATTCCACACAATTTGAGATCAGATATTGTAGCTGACAATATAGAGTTTACAAGCTCCTATTGAAGGCTTATAAATAAGGGCAATGATTCCCTTACAAAAGGCTGAGCTAAACAGTTTCTAACAAGACACCACACAAATATTACTGAATAGAAATTTCCTCTTTCAAAAGCATTCTAGCAAATTAAACACTATTAACTTGCTAAAATTCTCTTAAGGTGATCTATTATTGCCACGTCAATTTTAGTCAACAACTTCTTATTGAATTCAGGTTTCTAGTGGATTGTGGAGTAAAAAGGAAACCATAAAAATTAGTTGCAGTAGTGCAGGTACATGAAGTAAACCAGATCTGACTTTCATGTAGGATGAATGGTTGGGTGGGATGGAAGGGAAAGGTGGTGTGACTATGGAGGTGGCCGGTGGATGTATATAACTATATATTTGTTTGTCTCTGATAATCGAGAAGATTGGGTGGGGTGCTCTGCTTACATTTATAAAAATATTGACCTTGTTCGGGGATAGAGCCAGACTTTCTGTATCGTGATGTCAAAAAAGGAAAGACATCCAAATCTCTACTTAAAAAAAATAAAAAAATGAAAACCCCAACATTAAAATAAACTGACAATCATATACAGATCTCAGAAACGTGGTCATATTTATATACCTGTTGTGGGTCTATAAAATATGTAGATAAAATATCTAGCATGCACTCACAAATTAACTTTTGAGAACACGAGGGTATTTCTAAAGCATGTCCACACGTTAATATTCTTTGTCACTATTCAATTGACCTGTATCAAATATTTGAGATAATTTTATATACATAAATATCAATTAATAGTGGTAGGAAACACTGATTTTTCATATCTCGAGAGCACTAGAAATTCTCTCTTAGAGTGGAAGGTTTCGCTTTTCCAGCATATAGCTTTATCCACAAAAGTAACTTTCTCCTCAACGGAAATCCACTTTAGATAAAATGCATCAATGGAAATGAACAAACAATCTTCTTTTAAATTGCAAGGATCACATTTGGAATGAATAATGCTATTTAAACCCGTCACTACTCTAAATGGCATCAAAGTATTACTATTTGATAGATGACTTGATAAAACACATTCATCACATTTAAAATGATTTATCACTTAGAAGGCGCATAAATTGATGCTATAGCACCAGTGGTGGTATATAGAATTATTCATAAAAGATAAAAAAGAAACCCGTATTTTTAACTTCAAAACAAGGAATCAACATAACAGTATAATAATTTTCAGCATTTATTGAACTGTATTTTATTGATATGCATGTTTTTGGGCTGTGGGAAATAAAATGACTCCAACTTCTGAGAGAGAGAGAGTTTATTACAAGGCATAAATATATCAATCTTGAAATTCTAATCGAATTACTTTCATCTACCTGAGGAAATTTGACCGGTGAAATGTTCCATGGCGTACTCCTTCAAGGGAAATCTGAAGATCAATAATCTGTTAAGACTATTATTGCTTCCTTGTTAGGAAACCCTTTTTGCTAATTTACCAAGGGAACTTTCTGTTTCCCATTGGCAATGGGCTGCTTCTCCATATCAGTTCTTGCTTCAACTTTGTCTAGAGGAGGGTACGATCTTCCACTTCCACGAACTAAACCTTTGATTTCGGTGATAAGATCTTTATCTTTGAGCAAGGACTCCACAGTAACGTGTACCCCTGAGTAATACAGAGGTCGCCCATTAATGATGGAAAAGGGATCAAAAGAAAATTGGTATAATTTAAAATGTGAAACAAATACAAACATGCAATATAAAGTTAATATACAGTATGAAAAAGTAGTATGCACATACGATATCGCCAATAGTGTTTTGGATTTGTTGGGTCATTAATCGTCTCCTCTGCTGCAGGGCGTGTTGTGTATTCCTCTTTCAGCGCTAACAGATCCTGTTTGTTACGCAAAAACATGACAAGTCCGTTAAAATCTGTAGGAATATTAAACAGGCATATGGATGCATAATATGTAATATGTTCTTCCTCGATAAAGCCAACCATATGTCATCCAAAGGTTGAAAAGAAGAAGTTATTTTCATGTTTCAAAACACTCTGTTCTTACTATTAATTTAAAATAAATGATATTATTTAGAAGTAACCCTATAACATTATTGTCAAAATAACTTACTTCCTACTTTGACCAACAGCAAAAAAATTATTTATTGTAGAGTTTTTACTTATAAGTAAGCTTTTTAAGCTTAGCCAAACATGCGACGAAGTACATGTTAAAATAACATGCGCAGAAGCACATTTTGTAGATCCAAGTACCTGAAGTGGAATAATTGCCCACATTGATGGAGCTTCAAAGTGATGCCTTAAAATGAAGTGCACAATTTCAGGAGTGCATTGATCAGGTGGCAACAAATCAGATCCCACCACATTCTTGAAATATCTCTGTCTTCTCTCTTCATCTTCTTCCCACCAAGCACGCAGGGTGGAACAGTCGTGACACGATGGAGCACATACCTAGAGAATAGATTAAGCAAGAACGACAATTTCATTGAGGACCTTTTGCTTCATCGACTATGGTTCTCATTACTTGTATCCGAGATTCTTGAGTGGAAGGTACTTCATTAAAAAAAGATATAAAAGCAAAAGGATGACATGAACAGAAACAAATTAGAATAAATGGTTTACCGTCATATAACTATACTGAGAAGGAATACCAAATTCCAGATCAGGTTCATTTGGCATACGTTGAATGCGTAATCCTATTAAACCAAGCTCTTGCATGACCTGTGTCAGCCAAACACAAAACAACCTTACAAATCCACTTGAAATTAGAAATGGCATGAATGTAATTGAAAACCATAGTAATGTCATACAGGATGAACACAGGAAGGAATCATCCCGAGATCTTCTCCACAAGCCAGCATATCTGAAGAGTTCAAGAGAACAGGCAATGTCTTTAAAGCATTTTGACGCCACAGAGTCTCTTGCCGATGGAAGTAGTAATCATAATACAGTCTCTTCAGAACATTTTTGCTGCATCAACGGACAGCAATGATAAATGGCACATTGTGTGATAGTGGATATTCAAAGCAGATCTTTCACAAATCACATAGAAAGTAGTGAAATTATGGGAAAAAAGAAAAAGGAACAATCTTAACCACAATATATTTAATGTATGTTGTCAAATTATTTTCTCTAACAAAATGGACACATTTTGATATCCGAAAAATACGAATATTTTAGGTACCTGTGCTCATCTAAATCACTGAAGCTTGACGTATCCTCAAGATTGAAACGGGGGTAAAAACTTTTTGAATCTTCTGGATCTCTGATGAGGACTATATTCTGCCGTGGGAAAAAAACAACTGAAGTATACTGACGAGCATTCTCATATAATTGAAAAAATAAAAATTACTTCAGAAGTCATGGCACTAGATTAATTGAGGTTCCATATTTTTTTATTTTTCGTTCAATATCGTTGTTTTGCTTAATTACTATTAATACAATAGAATGTTCCATTAATGATACAGGTCAGTATCTTTATGTAGGTAAAAAACCCATTATATAATTCATGTCAGCCAAGATGAAGATGGTGAAAGCATACACAATAAGCATTGATAACTCAAAAGAATCTTTCTAGATTTACACTTGCCTTCACAAGATCAAAGAGGTTGCTCCGAAGAAGTGCTTCGCTCTCTAACAAAATGGATCTTTCTATGCATGACTTCAGCTTGGACACTATTTTCTTTTCAGTATTGCAGTCCTCCTTAAACTACATAAATCACAAAAAGCAAATGAATTCCTTGATAGTCCAAGTGCTTCTTCTACCTCTTCATAATTTTATCTATGCAGCAGGAAAATTATGATCACCAGTAAACTTGATTTGCTCCTAAACTAGAATTTTCGTTTATGCAGAATTGGGACACACGAGTGTCTAGCTTTAACTCAAGAAGGATAACACTCAACTTATAATTGATGTTGAATATTGTTATAACAGAAAAAGTAAAGGTCTTTTAAACAGTTTTGCAACTCAGCAATTGAGCCACTGTGGCTAGACACATATTGGAATATCGATGGCAACCTTTAGAAACTTGGCATCTAATTCAGCAAAAACTTCTAATATAATATAAGAACATGCTATATACTGGGAAACACATAAAATAATGATTAATCTCCTACACAAGGCCATTGTACACATTATTTAAGAGATTGCCGAAATAAACTTTTGGACAGTAGTGTGAGATGATTCATTTATCAGAAGCAAACATGGTTATAGTCTAGAAATAAAATAAAATATGTTATCTCACCTCGTAATGATCTTTCTGATATTCATTCAGAAAGTTAGAAGCTATTATAGGCCAGGAAGCTCCAAACTTCTCCTGAAACATGAGCAGCCACAGAAACAATGACTTTAAAATTTCTTTACAAGAGAGCGAACAGAGGAAAATCAGCACAAAACGGAGAATGGAAAAACTCATTACAACTAAAGACTTCTGCCTAACATATGGTCGACTCAAGCGATCAAAGTCCCATATTCCTTCTCTTTCAAGTTCTTCCTACAATAACAATTAGTTTAATACATATGAAGTGAGTATGATTGCATATTGGGCTAAACATATAGCGTCAATAACTAAAGAAAAAAAAAACAAAAGACAAGTACGTGGAGGAGTAAGACAAGGGGCATACCTGGCTTAGAGGAATAGATGGTCGAAATTTTCCACATAGACCAGTCACTGCATGATCTGGGAGCTCCCAGATTCTGAAGAAGCCCAATATATGATCAATTCTGTAAGCCGTGAAGTACTTGGCCATCTGTTAACCAAGCCAGAAGGCCAGATAATTTAGAATTATACAATTGTCTAAAGATGTAGGAAGTTTTGAAAGAGAGCAACAAGGAGACATCATCAAGTTACTGACCAACCTGCGTTAAACGAGCACGCCACCAAGCATAATTGTCTTTGGACATTTCTTCCCAATTATAAGTTGGGAATCCCCAATTTTGTCCATTTTTATCAAAATAGTCAGGAGGTGCCCCAGTAGAGGTGTTCATGCGAAACAGATTTGGATAGACCCAAGTATCCACACTATTTCGGTCAACACCAATAGGCAAATCCCCCTTCAGAACTACTCCTTTCTTTCTAGCATATTCAGAAGCTTCTGATAACTGTTGATCAACATGATTACCAAGTGTTTTAAGTCTTGGCAAAAAAAAAAAAAACACATACACACATAATAGGATAGGAGTCATTACTTGCATATGTAAATGGTACTGGATATAGTAATGAAAGCAAACTATATCATAGTGCAAGCTATCTTTCGAGACAAGCTTCTCAAGCTGAAAATATGGCAAGATAATTGTCAGTACCTAACACGTTAATGTTAAGAATAAATGTGAACCTTTCAAAACTGAAGTTCCTGATTCCATTAAAGAATATGAGAGAAAAGACCAAGAAAATTTTAAAAAAAAATGCAGATACCCTATCTTGTGAGAAAAGAGAAAATCGACCCCACTGGCTGTGATCTGATGTTTCAAAGAAGTCACGCAAAAAACAGAAGGCTGCATAGGGCCTCAACCAATCCTGCCAATAAAAAGAGATGCTGCGAAATAAGTACGCTTAAGGAATTAATGACTATCTGGAATAAAATTAATTGCTTAGTAAGATCTTTTCTTTCTCACAGACATAGAGTGGCTGTATTAAAAACTCCAATTGACCAGAATTATAAATACTGAAATCGCTACATCAATATTTATGCTAAACTATTATAACCTGATTCTCTGAAAAAAAGTTCTGAAAGGATGTTGAACTTAGTATTGCTTCCTTCTCCTGAGAATATATTTTCTTGGCGATTGTAAGTTTTGCAGCCATGGTGGCCTCATAATCTACATCCTGCAAGGATAAAGGGAAAACATTATGCAGGTTACGATCTGAATAAATTTTCGAGCACGTTTTCCATTCATTACACAATTTTACAGAATTTCAATACATGGCCATTTCAAACAGCTAAAAAGACACACAATGGTGACATATGAACTCATGCAGATTAAGCTTACATCCAATTCCAGCATTAAGGTTCATAGAATATTTTTTAAAAAAATTGATTTGGATGATAATATCCAATGCAAATGGCCTAAAACATTGGTATCGCCGACCAACCATTGCAAGACTAGCTGGTAAACGACCTAAATTAGACATCGTGAACAGGTAGCTACTTTCTGCTACTCTTTGCTACAACACTAGTATGTTATATTTTTGTTTTTTGATGCCACGTCACCATGATAACATTGCATGAACAATATATTCAAAACATGCTATAATCTTAAACATGGAATACCAGAAAGAACATATATAAAGGGAAAGAGAAAAAAACACACATCTTTACCAGAATCTCTCCTTTGTCGGGACCTGATTGTGTGATTTAAGATAAATTGAGTGTGCATGTATTTAGTGCTTCGTCAAGTATGTACTACAGATAGCATTTATTTCACGTGAAATTCAAGCAGCAGTTGTATGGAAATGGAAGCAAAAGGAATACAAAGATGTTATGATGGTTACGTTGGTGAATCTATGTTGGTGAGTTCAGTAGTAACAGTGATAATCAACAAGGATGGTGCATATTTGCAAAATAAAAATTTCATAAATATAAGAAACCTAATGTTTAAGAGAAATTTCTATATCGTTTTTTTTTTTGGCATCATGAACAGTGTAAACCAAATTGATTGAAAGGGAACGAATACCTTCCCATCCAGCTGTACTCTGGCGCGCTGTATCTCTTGCTGCAGATAGAACAGAGTCATTATGAGAGAGAAAATGTAATCTATTATATGATTGCCGCAAAATTGATTCAGCATCTACACCAGACTAACAAACTATTTCATATTTTAACCATCTAGTAGAAAGAAAACCACACCTTGATATCCTCAGTGATACTTTCAGAGAGTGCCTGGACCCTTAGGTATAATGGATGCAATGCAAATACTGAAAGCGAGCTGCACGGAATGGCCGAGAGGAAAATAGCAAACTTTAGTCTAATAAAATTTAAATGACAAGTACTATCAGAAAGAAATTACAAAAAGGGAACTGCATTGTGAAGTTATAACAAAAAGATATTATGAATCAAGTCAATAGAGGCAGTGCCAATGTTCGTCATGCCGAAGTTCCCTTTTGGAAATATTCCTATTATTATGCGCACACAGCATCATGAACATTTTTAAAAATAAATATCACTCGGAACATAGAGGTAAAATCAGATATGAAAATGAAAATTGATAGCAACTTGTATCTGTACACTATTTAGCACCCATCATGCTGGCTAAATAGAGAATGAAAAATAGAAACAACAATATCCAACCAAACAAGTTCATGTTTCAACTGTGCGACCTCAAACCTAACTGTTTACCTGTACGGATATGAATCCCACCACATTCCGTGGACTGATGTATCATTTATTGGCAAGAGCTGAACCAAATGGAAGCCGGACTGCACTGACCAGTCCACTAGTAACTTCAAATCAAGAAACTCCCCAACTCCTAGATCAGCATCTGATCTGATAGAGAACATAGGGATGGCTACACCAGCACCCCTCCATGGCATTTCCTGACAAACAAATCGATATATTTGGGCTATTTTTTAGTTCGAACTTCAAATCAATAAATAAAACACATAACTCAAAATATTTTCAGTGCCTCACTCGCATCAAGCCGTCTGAAAGGATTATATACTTTGGTTGAGTAGTTGTGAAGTCAACAAAAAGCTCCCGGTTTGGACCCATTTCCATAGAAAAGTTTTCGGCGTTTCCATATTTACCGTACCTGTATGTAAATATTTGTTAAGGAGAGAGAAAGAGAGAGAGTAAGACTTGCCCTTTCACTCACATAATTGCAGATACAGAGAGAACGAATAATCAAGAATTGGGCAACAACTAGCATTATGCTAAAAGCCATGGCACTAAAAAGGATATTTTATAGGGAAGTCTTCCTTCCGCATCACACATTCTGCTTGCCAAATAGATTCACCAATATAATTGAGTTTAAGTCGACCCTGAACCTTCCACTGGCCCAACTTCAAAGGACTACCAATCACACAAATCTGCATAAATTCGTAAAAAGCATGATTCAGTTGGACTTAAAGAGCTGCAATTACAGAAGGTCGACAAGATCTTACTGATGTTTTTTCTTCAATATTTGGGCAGCAAATTCTGAACTGTACAATGACTGAATCTGTTTATCACATTTCTACAAAGTAAATGTCCGGAATATGCTCTCATTTCTAATACGATCACATCTGAAAGATGAAGATATTTGGAAATTAAGGGAACAAAATTACCTTCCGTATTCAATTCATTCTGAAGTTCAGCCAGGGGTTTCTCCACTCCTAAATTCCAACTCCTGCGGAAGATTGCATTTTTAAATGCACTTCTAAAAGGGAGATCATCAGAACCAGTCTGCATGAATACAACATAAATTCAGTAACCAGCTTCTTATTATGGATAAACAAAGATAACAGCCAACAAGAGATAAATTTAAGCACCAACCGTTAATGTCATTGGAGATCATCATTCCCGTGAGTTTTGAAATAAATAAGAATTTAAGCAATATGGTAAAAATTCAAAATTGCAGGAAATACATACTCTAACTCACATCTGATAGCAAGAAGATGAGCTTATCATTTTTTGTGGTTCATTCCACGATGTCATCACAAGTTATTAACTTGGACCACTTCAATTATATATATTTTCTTCAAGGGTGAGGGGAAGGGGTAAATTTTTATGGTTCAGGATCTTATCATAAGGAATGACTATGGATACTAAACAAGGGAAAAGCATAAAATAATTACTCATTCTATCTATGCTTAACACCTTTTTTTCTTTCTGATCGAGGTTTTCTTACAATTAAAAACAATGGTGTTTATAAATAGTCAGATCAAATTGCAGGAAACAAGGTGATTATGTTCACAACATAATCTAAATTGATAGCATTAACGTAAGAATTTGATTGCAAATTTAATCGTCATTTATGCTGCAAGCCTACAACCGAAGGGCATAGTGGTAGAATGTAAAGGAAAATAAATCACCACCAAATAAGGTCCTCCCATTTATCTTTCTCAATCTGATCTTCTTGAGAAACATTTAGCTAATACACCTCTTATATGGTAGTAAGCACATTAAATAATTGAGAAAATGTTACTCTTTAAAGTTTCTTGAATAATACCATGAGAAGTTAATAAAAATAGATCATTCTTTGACACGGGCATATTCAAGATTAAATTATCACCGTGTTAAGTAATATTATGTTTTCAGTATCTCCACAACCTCAAAAACAAAAAGAACTCCTATGCAGTAATTAAAGGAATTATAAGTTTGTAACATGAAACCTAATCCACCCACATCCACACACACAGAGAGACTGATAGAGGGAAGCAAAATAAGTACCTGCCAAAGGTCATGAATTTCCACAGAAACCCCATCCTGAACACCAATAGGTAATATCAGTTTTCTCTTCTTTCCAGCCTCCCATCTTAGAATATTCCTGTGATCATCCACAACATAATAGCTGTACTCACATCCAAATCCATTTGGAACAGGCAGACTTCCAGACCATATGAGTTCATCCCCTCGATGAAAAGGCTTCAAAAGAAGGCCTTTCTTCACATTCCATGACCCAAGCACTGGTTCTGAACCACAGACCAGAAGGTGTTGCCCCCAGTGGGTATAATAAGGTAACTTAAAGCTCACAATAACTGAATTTGAAGTCTTGCTCCCACGAATCAATCCCAGATTCACCATTTTTCACCAATTATTGAACTGAACAAGAATGAGCTTTCCTGTAATCTAGCAAAAACATTCGTTTATGAGTCAGATTTTATGCATTAACAAATGAAAACAAATTTGGAATTCCCAGTATTGGAGCATTAAATCATGAAATCTGTATTTTTATTGGTAACAGAAGTATAAACAAAATCTTAACTATAAAAACATAAAATAAACAAGACAAATAGGAATCATCTTGACCCAATAGTACGCATCTTTTGGGGGTGGGGGTGGGGGGGGGGGGGAATTAAATGGGTGGATGGGAGAAATATGTTTTGAGAATGAAAATTTTCAAAGTGAGAAAATTGAAAATTTCAAGGGGAAATTAAAATTTNGGGGGGGGGGGGGAACTCATGGAAAAAACCAATAAAAACGAATAGAATCTAGGCCTGAAAACTCACTGCCCTGAATTACAAAGCACTCAAAATTTTGACATTTTTGCACATAATTGGATTAAAGACCCTAGAAAGGTTACCCAAAAAGATTTGTTATTGATATAGTTCAGCTATAATTGCAATGCTAAATTACCTAAAGCACTGAGCTATGAGATACAATAGTTATGATCATAAAAACCCATCAAGATTTGAGTTAA